GCTTCCCTAGTTGCTCCGCTCACCAGAACTCAAAAGGTTATTTTCTGTCACAAGTTCAGTTTTCATTTTCGTTTTTTCACTAGTTAGATGGTGTCAGCATTGGATGACACGAAGAAACTTTTAGTGAGCTAGAGGCTGCAGGATATCGCTTTGCTGACATAAAACAGCAGGTCCGCAAAACTCGTACTGTGGAGCTGCCAAGGGCCCTTTCGGTGTTCTCCATGAATATTTTTTGTTTTTTTTTCTCCTGGAGAGTCATTTAGCGACTATGAGTTTGTAACTGAACGCCACTACCCACAAGATCTGATCGCGAGGTTTGCATTCGAATATTAAAAATGAATAGTTGTAAAATACCAGCTTCAGTGATGACATCCGGTCGCAACCCCAATTGACGAACGACTGAGAGAGCATATGCACGATTCCAAGCCGAATGATCAACGCCAGTTTTATATCTGCCTAAAAATGTAGAAATTGTGGAGCTACTCGAATAAGAAAAGCTACTGAGAAATAAAAATGGTGTTTGAAAAATAGCGACATACTAGAGGTGAATATGGAAACTTTCGAATCTTCCACAACAGGCTTCTTGTCGACCTGTGCCATTAGAACCGACAGTGGAAATAGCCTAGATGCCAAAAATGATAACACTTCAAAGAGCAACTGGGACACTTTTTGAAACATGAAACGTACTGTTCAGTTCATGAGATAAACGCTCGGCAACTAGGGCGTTGAAGAAATAATTAAGGAAGAGACGTTGTTCGACCCTCCTGCAAAAGCAAGAACGAACTGGGAGACAAAGCGAGTTGACAGAGATACAGCGATTCGGCGACTCGAGAGACTGGGGCGATCCGGTGTTTGGGGAGATTAATACATACACTTTCATCGTCGTGCATCTCCCAAATCACCGGATTCCTCAGACGCAAAGTATGAACGCCTAAGGCGGCGGCCGCTAGTAAGTATGTTGAAAAATTGGTGAATGCGCGGGAAAAGAATGTAGAATTTCGAGAGCTGTGAAAACGCGGAAGTGGAGCACTGGCGAAATCTATTACTAGCTGATTCTTTCCGCCATTCGTCCAAATCTGGCGATTCTCTAGCTCAGCTGTGGGCTGAACAAGGCTGCGATCGCTCACATTACGATTTTTCTGACCATTTCGATGCAAACCGAAACTTCTAAAATTCAGCATCAATTGTACTTTATTAGATAGTCAGTAAATTTGATTCGGAAAAAACCCTCCATCCTTTAGTAAACTGAATCAGAAGACTCGGATTCAAGTTATCCAAAGAACAAATTACTGTCATAACAACAAAAACGATGATCTTAAAATACTCAATGATTTAACTGATTGATTACATCGCCGTGTATATTGATTGAAAATAAGGAATATTGGAAGCCCTGATGTATACAACACCATGCTACGAACAAGATAAACCATGTCGTTTAATAATGGTTGTAAAGTACAAAAAAGAAGAACCTGAATGGCCATTGCTCGGTGTGAAAGTGCCCGTATCACGCCGTAACACCCTAACAAAGAAACCGCTACACTGATTAGTGCAAAAAATATGCTCCGAAACAAATGTAAAAAGAAGGGAAGGCCAGTATATTTGAACAAGTTGGGAAGGCGTGATGGGAAAACATCGGTGGGCCGGCAGCCTTGCAGGTCCGAACCACGCGCTGGATCTCTTCACCAGTATCCGCTCACGCTGTGGCCGTGACTGCGCCTCCCTGCATTGCGGAAAGCTCAGCATGGCGTGGTGCCATGCTTATTCAGTGCTTTGCCAAACGAGCTTTTAAATTGAGGAATCGGGGTGCTAACGTATTTGGGGGGGGGGGACCAACGCGCGCGCCCGGCGAGTGATGCACATCATCCGGTCTTTTCACTCATTTGCGCAAACTTGAAACCGCTAAATTCTAGCATCAAATTAGAATAAAAACAGAACAAGGTCAGCCGAACTTGCCGCCCTGAGAAACTCCCTCCGAAGGCCGAAAACAATTGTCTGATCGTTTTTAGTCCAAAGCAAATAACACAGTCAACAACTAAACAGGCCAGCAACAGTTGTAATTGGTTGCAAAATTCTTTCCACAGCCCACAACCGTGTTTCATTGGACTTTCAGGCCGTTACTGGTATCTAGTAGCACTAGGTCGCGTGTTATACCCGACTGTCCTAACAACAACAAATTTTACTTCGATTTGACCGAACGGGGTAGCAGAAAGAGGGACAATCCAGTCCATCGCACCGCCGCGAACGCCGCGTGGTCCCCCCCACAAAATACGTTAGCACCCGGAATAGTTCACAGGCGCAGCCTCTCACAGCCGGGCCAACTATTGCTGATGCCGAGTCCACCGCGTTCTCGACAGATGCAGACAGAAATACAAAGAAGTTTCAAGTCTAACCTCGGACAGGACAAGTCGCCGATCAGAACGGTATATGGGCTTCATGCATGAACCCTGCAAAATACCCCACGTATGGAGCAGATGGACTTGGATTGCCCGCCAGGGCGCCGACGCCGTTCTTTCACCCCCACTACAATGCTGGCTCCAACGCATCCCGTCTTGCCGCCCGCCCCATCCCCTGTCCTAATGCCGCAACAACTCGTTGGAGGGGTGGAAAGGGCTGCATCTCGCAACCATGTGCCCCAAACAGCCCGCGCCTCCCCTCGCTCACCCGACCGCCCACCAGTTTACAGGGATATGACTATATTATTGCAAGACGCTATTCCCTGATAACTCCAAGAAGAAGCTCTACAAAAGCTGAAGAATACTCGTTAACTCTACCCCCTGGTGAGTCAGTGGTCATATTTGGCCTGACAGCTCTTTATCGTTTCCGAGTTTGAACGCCACATTTGTGACAGCTGTTATACCCAATTCATTAAGTCGGCATTTAGCCTACAAAGGCATGGTAAAGCATGTAGGCGGAGCCAGGCCTGGTATCGCGCCCTTCATTTAGCGCCACTCCCCTTCACGCTTCCAGAGAAGGAGAGCAGAAAAGGGGAGCAGTGGGAGGAACATGTGCACGCCTGGCTCCACCCATGCGATCAGCGTGGACTGAATTAGAGTGGATTCGTTCTATTAGGTTCAAAACGGTACGGAATATGCGTAGATTCATTCTTATGCAAGTTATTCGAGAACAAAAATCAGCATTGTAGACATTTATTCGATAATACCCGTACATCCATATCATTTGTCACGTTCAATATGGCAGCGAATACCCAAATGCAAAAAAAATGCGAAGCTTTACATATAGTACATAAATTTGGAACGATTTTCAGTTGAAAACTGCGCAGTCAAAGGTATGTATTGATTGGTCAAGCCGCGCGCTGGGCGATCTCTCATCATTAAGTGCTCGGTGGATCTGGAACGGCTGTTTGCCGTGTATTTCCTTGCGGCTTGACCATTTGATACGCAATCCGAAGACATTAATGATCCCCGAAGCTGACGGAACATCGAGCAGTAATCATATCGCCGAGCTTAAGCCACAAAAGTGCTCAGAATCGTGAACCGGAATGCCGTTACTCACAGCTCATATCTCGCAGATAGAAGGGGCGTGGCTGCGTACTTATTTGAAACTGCGGCTACGCGCTTTGGTGGAATATCGTCATGTTGGAACAGTTGGCTTGATGCCTTTGACCAGCACAAGACACATGGCAATTGTCTCAAAATGAAATATCCTATGAAAGAAACGCATTGTACGCCATGTTCGAATGAAGCACGCAGCCACGCCCTCCTCATCTCTCGGATATGGAACAGAAACGAGCGGAGTTCGAAACGCCTTAAAAAGACCGCAGATGTGGCATAAGCTGAAAACATACAGAAACTAATGAAATCATAGAAAATAACAACTTTGGACATCAATTTGACTGCAGTTCAGACACAGAGCGACGACTAGATGTACCGAACAACACATAGGATTTAGAGCGCTGTGTGCCTTGGGAGGAGCCAGTGTGCAACACTGCGTGATCGCTTGAGTAACTTTTTTAGGGGTTGGGGAGGGGGAAAAAGGACATCTGTGTTGGTGAGCCACTTCGCACCTTTCACTTTTTCTCAAATGAATTATTTATACACTCTGGAAATCCTTCCCTTTTCAAGGATTCTATACTACTGTAGCGTTGACGCAAAACTGCAGACTGATACCCCCGATGCACAAAGCGCCCAGTTTGGACACTGAAATATCCTTCAGACATCAATGAACAACCTTACTAACTCAGGATATACTGATAAGATGATTTTTAATATTGAGGATTGTGGCTCGATGTGCTGGCGACACGATGCCCAGATTCTTCAGATCGTGGTCGTTCAGAGTGAAGAATGACTGAAAAAAACCAGATTAATTTTTTAAAACAAACTATATACTAACTTCTGTGGATCCGGATTCCGGTCCTTGCTGTGGGGTGAGGGAGAATGGGTCCACAGCCGCACTAGCGGGCCACTTTCTGCGCTCAAAAAGTGCACGGGAACGGGGCTGGAGGGTAGTGATACCCGGACTCCTTCTCCATAACTTCGCCCGAGGTTTTTTCAAGGTGAAACACTAGCGTTGATATCGATATACGGCAGCGATCACGCAATCAGAGGTACTGAATGACCAGGTGAGAGAACGCAGACGAGTAGAGCGCTCGGCTACGGTAAAGTTGGCCCCGGCGGCAGTTGGGAGACGGCACATGGGTACTACTACCCTCCAGTCCCGTACTCTGCACTTGAGAGGAGAAAATGATAAGCTACTGCCGCTGCGATCCCATTCGCATATGACATGGGTCAGGATCCGTGGAAATTAGTGAACAATTTGTCTTCAAATTTGATGTGATGAAAAGGCGAAAAAAAAATTAGAAAGAAAATAAAGAGCACCGAGAACAGCCGAACGTCTGGATCAACAAAACAAACGGACCCGATCCTTCAGAAATCAGCGGGCTGAGCACTTAAGCTCCATATCACTGAGGTAAGGGGGCGTGGCCGCGTGTACATTTGAACATGACGTAGGATGCGAGATAATTGTCCATCTGTCTTGCGCTAGACAAAGACATGACAGTAATTGTCCCAACATGGCAATATCCCACCAAAAACGCAGCTGTCGTCACATTCAAACGAAGTATACAGCGGCTCCCCATCTGCGGATATGGAGTGCATATTAACTCCAGAGGAGGAGAGTTTCTTGCTCATAAATACAAAAATAATTTTTCATTTGAGAAAACTTTATTCTAATGTAGTGTAAGTTCTCAACACCCACCTCGGCGTCGATTTCCTCCTTCTGGAACACGTCAATATATTGAGACATGTTGTGTTTACGTAGTTCACCCCAAATCCGCTCTAAATTTCAAAGCTCATTGTCAGTAAAGGAAAAGGTGGTGCTGAGGGTATGGGTGGTGTCTGGCCCCTAGCTTGTCTCCACTGGCGAAATTTTGCTCAAATGCGTAAGTTTAAACGTCTACGGACAACTAAAACTCTATCTTTTAACCTCGGGAACTTTCTTTTCTCTCTGCGCTCTCACATCTGCATGTATTTTATGACCACTGCGATCTTACCAGTCTAGCTTTTCACATATGAT